AGACATAGAAGAAGAGGGGCGAAGAAAGAGACAGAAAAAAAGCGAGAAGGAGAGAGATGAGACAGAGAGAGAACAAGAGAGACAGAGAAGAAGAGAGACAGAAGATGAAGAAGTGAGACAAATAAGAAGATAGCGAGAGGAGAAGAGAGAGAACGAAGAAGAGAAACACAGAAGCTGAGAGACAGAGAAGAAGAGAGACATAGAAGAAGAGAGACAGAGAAGAAGGGCGACAGAGAAGAAAAGCGACAAAGACAGAGAGATACAGAAAAGAAGATAGAAGAAGAGAGAGAAGATGAGAGACAGAGAGAGAAAGAAGAAGAGAGACAGTGAAGATGATAGAGAGAAAAGAAGAGAGAAAATGAAGAAGAGTGACGTAGAATAAGAGTTACAAAGAAAATGAGAGCCAAGGAGGAAGAGAGATAAGAAGACAAGAAGAAGAGAGACATAAAAGAAAAGAGACAGAGAAGGAGACAGACAAAGAAAGGGAGAGAGAAAAGACGAGAAAAAGAGAAGAAGAGTGAGAAGAAGAAGAGAGAGAGAGAGAGAAGACAGTGAAGTAGAGAGACAGATGAAGATAAGAGACAGAAAAGAAAATAGACAGAGAAGAAGAGAACAGGAAAGAAGAGAGACATAGAAAGAAAGAGACAGATAAGAAGTGAGAGAGAAAAGAAGAGAGACAGAACAACAGAAAAGAAGAAGAAGAGAGACAGAGAAAAAGGGGTACAGAAGAATAGGCACATATAGAGAGAGAGAAGATGAAAGACTAAAATACACATACTAACAAACACACACATACACAATACACAAAGATGGCGATAGATTTAAAAAGATACAAAGGTCATTAAAAAAAATAAGAACTAAGACCCCATTCTTTGCTCTTTTCTCTAATGGTTTTATTACCTTTTAAGCAGAGGAACATTTTCTCCACAAATCCAAGAAGAATTTGGAATACTGCCACACACAAATGACAATGGCTAAATGTGGAAATAACCATTCTTAGCCTGATGACGGTCAGATGACCTGAAACAGGGGTAACAAAAAAATATGGAAAATAAAGTACAATATATATTAAAACAAAAAATTAAAAAATATAAAAATCCACATTATAACCAAAAACATTTGCGACTTCTCTTTTCCGTTTAAAATATACAAGTTGGAACAAGTTTAATATCTCCCTTATATATATATATATATATATATATATATATATATATATATATATATATATATATGTCATGATAATTTATCTTATAAGTCTACCATTCTTCCATACATCGAATGCATTCCGCTATGTGTCTCGAGATGCTTGCTAAAATCCAAAAAAGAATCTGCAATACTATCGGTCTTGACTTGGCAACTCGGCTTAAGATACTTTCGCTGTAACGTCATTTCCATGTACCTTACACACACACACACACACACACACACACACACACACACACACACACACACACACATATATATATATATATATTTCTATGGTAATTGTTCTGATAAAGACTTCTCTTTTTAAACTTGACTTTATGAACTGAAGCCCAGTACTAGATTGATAGCTCGGTCTCATTATTTATATTGAAATGGCGTGATGGAACCGTAGGGCTTAGCCTAAGATTTTCTACTCTCACACTTCTTGCTTGTGGACCGCTTTTCCGGAATTTTGCTTCCAGTCAAAATTGATCTTCCAAAATTTATATTCAATGTCCAACGTTATCTTCCGATTTCTTAATATTTGTTCTTTGAAATGATGGAAAATTGTAGCTTAAAAAGCAATAAAATCGAACTTGATAACCAGACGCTCCTCTGTAGCTAAACTGGCATAGCACGTCAGGCTATATGACAGGTTCGATTCTTGTCGGAGGACGCATATGAAAATTTCTCGGACATTCAAGCCGGTAAATGTTGTTATTGCTGTTTATTATAAAAAAAAGAAGAGCATTTACTTAAATATTTGTGTCTATATAAATAACGTATAACAATAAAATTATACACACACACACACAATGAAATGGACAAAGTCCGACAATTATTTAAAGACATTTTTATGTTTAACATTCATTTTATAGAACGATCCTTTGTGGCCGTGCGGTTAGGCACGTCAGCGTAAATGACGGTTCCGTATAGGATGCAGGTTCGAATCCTGTCAAAGGACGAATATTTTCTATGAAAATTTCTCGGACATTCATCAAGTGTTGTTTAATACTGTTTATTATAAACAGAGCATTTACTAAAATACTTGTATCTATAAAAAGAATGTGAAACATAAAAATGTCTTTATATATATATATATAAATATATATATATACTAGTTTAAAAGCCGCCCCATCGGACGGCATTTAAGCTAGCTTCTGCAGAGTGCTCTTGATTGGGCCTCCGGCTTGTTCAGAAGTTTGAGTGTCCCTGCGTCTTTGCATATTCTCACCATTAAAATCTTTCCTGGCTGCCGTTTGATCTGGGTTTTCCTTTGCACGGGATTTTATTTTCCTCGCTGCAGCCTTGGCTATTTTGATTGCAATCTGTTCCTTTGTTGGTTGAGATTTCTTTTTGCGAGTCATACTGCTGCCGTATGAGATAGGCAATAATAAACTACAGAAGAACTCAAAATTGATCGCTGCATTTAAGTATTGCATTAATATTTAATCTCACCATTAAGTTCAACGATAATTCTTCTGTCACCACTTCATTTAAAGATACTTTGATGTGCGTAAGTCCTTACTTACCGTACAAATAATTATTTTTATTTCATGTGTGGCCTTCGCTGTATTTTGCAATTAATTTCAATTATTCCCAAATATATTTCCAAGTTATAAATATTGTTATCATACAAAAAAATTCGTCGCAAAATATCACGCCAAAAATCACTGAAAACAACCGCAGTACTGAAAAGTTGGGAATCCAAAATTTCTGTAACATGAGCTATTGAAATTTAGAGAGTTGTGCCTCTTTAACTGAAAGAGTGTGACACACTGACACACTGACTTTGACATGTATTATATATTTTGACGGATGTCTATAAAAACATCGCCTATATGTCATCACACTCTTTCTGTCTACCATACCCCTTCCTTCCATCATACCCTTTCCTTCCATCATAAACACCGAATTTTCTTCTGGACGATAGCAGCAATGGGCAAACAGCACTAATTATCAGCAAAAGATGGACAGACCATCATGATCTACACGAGATAATAACTGAGAGAACGAGAAATTCAAAAAAAATTTTGAATAGCGCCGATTGGACGATAGCAGCCAATCAAATTATTCCGTTTGGAATTATGGCGGCGAAAAGAAGATAACCGGAAGAACGATGAAAAAACAAAAAAAAAATCTAGAATAAAAAATGGAGAACGTCGTCTTGATGATCTGAAGCCACTAGGAGAGGGGTTAATTTAACTGAGAGAAGGAGTGATAGAAAAAAGGAGGAGAGGGAAATGGATAGAAAAATATGATGTCGACCCGGTCTCAGGGAAAAAATAAAAGGGGCCGACGAGATGTGCAGTTATGAAGCTATTGGAGTAGAGACGGCTACATTTTAAAGTTTCTCAGTGAAAGGGAAAACAGGATATTTACTTGAATTCATGTCTGGGAACCAAGAAAAATCATCAAAATAATTTCATCTACGTTATTCCGTTTTGACCGATGCCATGGTTAAATTACATTACATATCCGTCTCTGGGAACAGTAAACAGAATCCCGGACCAAATCAGATTGCAAGATTTGTATATTTAAATTATAAAGAAGGAAGTTCATATACGGGTTTTACTAATAAAATAGATCCATGCAAGTACAGAAAAATAACTGTCTTCACTGATTCGCCAATTTGATTGAAAAAAAATATTTTCTCTTCAAGTGTTTGTTCTGTTAGCATTAAAAAAAATCCTCGTGTTATCTCGTTGCTGAGGCTCGATCTGTTAAACTCCACCTTCACTCCACGTGATCGAAAAGGAATCCGGAAGTAGATGGCTTCTACTATATTTTTATATATTCTTTGTTTTTCTTTGTGTTGCTATACCGATGAAGAAATTTAAATATTATGAATATTTACAGTCAAAGGGAGGTAAACCTGAATTCTCTCCATTTTTAAATCAGTAACAATATATTGTTAGACATTTTCATGACGGTCGTCTTCGAGTATACAATCCAGAGGTTAGCAGTGAATATTTTGGAGACAGTAGGAAAGCGTAGTGCAGGTTCGCAGTGGATATCGCAGCAAGGTAGCAGAGCGTAGTTCTTCCGTCTGTCATGTTCGCCGGTAGGAAAACAAAGATGGCCGCCTTTATACACGACGAATCCAGTGTTCATGATCATGTTCGCCGGACAAGTTGCCTCTGGTCATTCCGGAAGGAAAACGAAGATGGCCGCCTTTATACACGACGGATCCAGTGTTCTGCGGCTTCTGATTGGTTAATCTTCTATTGGTAGACTATAAAGCGAATTAAGTCACTTTGACTCGCTCACTAGTTACATACAGTATATACCCAAAAAACCGTAACATATATATATATATATGTGTGTGTGTGTGTGTGTGATAATTAAGTAATTTATCGAGTCTAGAAGAAACCTCAACAGAATGCAGAAAGCACTGGACGGCCGTTTCGTCCAATATTGGGGACTCATCATCAGTGCGCATCCACTACCGAGAATTGAAACCCGAACATTTACGATAGGAGGCTATGAGTCCCCAATATAGGACGAAACGGCCGTCCAGTGCTTTCTGCATTCTGTTGAGGTTTCTTTCAGACTCGATGAATTACTTAATTATGATTATTTCAAATCTTCCTAATAATTTCTATCATGTATATCCTTGCTTGAACCAGCTTCTAATGCTCTAGAGTGAGCGGCTCGGGGAGGCACAGGTCTATGGGTAAAAGAGTAATTCAGAGAAGTTCCACCACGGAATTTGTGATCGAGCTGTGCGATATCGCGTCTAATTCGTTGCTTCTTTCTCACCGAGAACCGCTAGTACAGTACATAGTATAGTACAGTTGGTATGGCGTTTGCCTCCTATCGAAACTGATCGGGTTTCAATTCTCGGTAGTGGATGCGCACTGATGATGAGTTCTAAATATAAGACAAAACGGCCGTCTAGTGCTTTCTACATTCGGCTGAGGTTTCTTCTAGACTCGATGAATTATTTATTTATGATTATTCCAAATCCGCCTAATTATTTCTTTCTCTCTCTATATATATATGGTCCATCGAAAAGTGATGTGTGTTTGTTCCAGAGCGGTTCGAGACACTTCATTTCCCTCTATATATTATTAAGATTTTTCTTAAAGTTCGTATTTTCTTGACGTCAGATGAAACTTGGAAATTTTAGAAGAAAACCAGTTAAATTGCCACTTTATTAGCTTCCAGAGTCAATTCTGCATAAAGAAGAACTCTATGACAAGCGTTTGCAAACCTCTGTTGCAATTCATTCTAAAACATCAAGACAAATGTTAGGGTCCCAGCTATGTGTATATGCGTATTTGTCTGCTATATTTGTACATGTATATATATATATATATATATATATATATATATATATGCATGTATATATTGTGAGTGGTGCCTACAAAAACATCGCCTCCATGTGATCACACTCTTTCTGTCTACCATGCGCCTTCCATCACACCCTTTCTTTCTCATTGCACCAGTGGGCAAACAGGCTAAATACAGTTTGACAGACTACAACATGAATGTTCTAAAACATGGTGGAGGGTTGAACAGACCTGAACAAGAAACCTCAAGCCACCTTCCC